TCTGCAAATTTAAGTAATTTATTGACTATTCCTTCATATATGTCATTGATATAAATCAAAAAGAGAAAAGGTGCTAAGACTGACCCCTGAGGTACTCCACTTGTGACATTAATCCAGTTTGACTGAACTCCATTGTAACAACTCTTTGTTTTCTTCCATCTAGCCAATCTTCTATTAAAATCAGTTATCATATTATCTAAATATCAATGAAAAATATTTACACGTTAGCGACAGTAAAACCAAAATCAGCTATCATATTATCTAAATACCAATGATACCATATTTCTACACATACTTCCAAAACAGTTGAAGTCCAACTCCTTTTAAAACATTTTTCTAAGGATGTCAACATTGAAAATTTTTAATATTTCTAAATGGAATATGTAATATAATAATTTCACACGAAAACTACTGTTTTAAGTTTCATTGTAAAGCTTTTTTTCAATAGGTTATAGCAGATGATTTGTGTTTCCAATTAGAAATTGTGAATCTATTAAAATAAAGGGTGGTCCAAAAGCTAGTTGTTCAATACCATTTGTATTGTAGCATGTAGCACCAAAACTCGTTTGTCTAACGAGCATGTTCTATGCTCTTGTATTGTTCACATATATAGTCATACATTAATCTGAAACAAAGGAACAACTCAAACTAACAAAGTTTAGAATTTTATTGGATAGTGAACATGGTTTCACTAAGGGAAAATCCTGCCTTACAAATCTTTTGACATTCTTTGAAAAGGTTACTGTTTATGTAGATGAGGGTAAGAGTGTGGATTTGGCGTATCTGGAGTTTCGAAAGCATTTGAGAAAGTGGCACATAAAAAGCTTGTAAAAATTATATCTATAGGTGTGGGAGATAAGTTAGCAAATTGGTGAAAAATATTTACACGTTACTCACAGTAAAACCATATAAATGTTATTTAGAACAAAAATAAAATTAAGAACTTACGAACCAGGCTTTTTGAAAATGTAGTGAAATGACTCGCAACAAGCATAAGGATGTCAGAGTGATGTGTTCAAATTAATAAAACAAACAGTTTGGGGGGAACTATATATATATCGGTAAATATTTGCATATTTAATAAAGTTCAAGAAATAATTATGATGTAAATGTTCTAAATAGATGCATATTTGCAAGTATGTAATTATGTAGATCGCAGATGAAATCGATACATATAACGTATATAAAAATAATTAGAATACGAATATTCCTACATATCATACATTTTTAGGAAAGTAACGTTAGTTTTATCGCCGTGTAATATAATAATTAGGTACCACGATATTTTCTGTTCTTTTTTTTTGGTAGAATTGGGTTTTTCAACAAAATATTTATGTAGTACATTTAATACCATACACATTGCAGCATGTCTTAAAACCTACCTCCTCGAATTCTATGAGCAAGTTTCTTGAACTCACGAAATTCGGGATAAATAAAGCTGTGATTTGCACTGCTTGCTATTGCTTCCAATTCAGCTTTAAAAAATCGACCAATGCCAAAAGTGAAAATCTCTACTCCGGACTTTTTCAGTTTGCTAGCGACAGAGACAGGATCAACTCCACGATTTGAAAGCCCGTCACTCAATAAAATTACAACCTATTTGTTAGAGAAAGCATATTTTAAACACAGTAATAAATCAGCTGTTAAATGAATCTACAAAAGGTACCATTTTCGTTACTGTAACTTACTTATATTGAACATATTCTACAAAAGGTACCATTTTCGTTTGTAACTTACTATATTGAACATATTCTACAAAAGGTACCATTATCGTTGTTGTAACTTACTTATATTGAACATATTCTACAAAAGGTACCATTTTCGTTGTTGTAACTTACTTAAATTGAACATAATCTACAAAAGGTACCATTTTCGTTACTGTAACTTACTTATATTGAACATATTCTACAAAAGGTACCATTATCGTTGCTGTAACTTACTATTATTGAACATATTCTACAAAAGGTACCATTTTCGTTGTTGTAACTTACATGTATTGAACATATTCTACAAAAGGTACCATTATCGTTGCCGTAACTTACTTATATTGAACATATTCTACACAAGATACCGTTTTCGTTGCTGTAACTTGGCGGTAAATTATGCAAATCAAATAAAGCTGTATACGAAATTTAAGCTTCTTTTCGGATATTAAATTGTTTACTATGCGACGTGTACTTAACAACCATTGCAAACAGTTCCAAGAGTTCTGAAATTACCATAAGGAAACCTACAGAGAAGTAGCAAGTTAGGAATTTATGTTCAATATAAGTAAGTTACAACAACGAAAATGGTACCTTTTGTAGAATATGTTCAATAATAGTAAGTTACAACAACGAAAATGGTACCTTTCGTAGAATATGTTCAATATAAGTAAGTTACAGTAACGAAAATGGTATCTTTTGTAGATTATGTTCAATATAAGTAAGTTACAACAACGAAAATGGTACCTTTTGTAGAATATGTTCAATAATAGTAAGTTACAACAACGAAAATGGTACCTTTCGCACAATTTGTTCAATATAAGTAAGTTACAGCAACGAAAATGGTACCTTTCGTAGAATATGTTCAATATAAGTAAGTTACAGCAACGAAAATGGTACCTTTTGTAGAATATGTTCAATAATAGTAAGTTACAACAACGAAAATGGTACCTTTCGCACAATTTGTTCAATATAAGTAAGTTACAGCAACGAAAATGGTACCTTTCGTAGAATATGTTCAATATAAGTAAGTTACAGCAACGAAAATGGTACCTTTC